GGCCTATGGAAGGCATCAACAAGTAAACTGAACACATATAACTGGAAAGCCATGCAAGATAAGTCCACAATTCCAATTCCAGACTATTGGATAAGTTCCAGGTTCCAATATCTGAACCGAAATCTGAGAATGGAGGGGGAATGAACTGATTAAAAAATTATGCATACCTTATGTCAGATACCGAGAAGCATGTATGGTATGCAAAAGTAAATGAGAAAGGTCTTCCATCAATATTTGTATTTCTGATTCGAGAAGTGAGAATCAAATCTCCTCCAGGCGCAAGAGCAACTCTTAATCGAAATTCAAAGCTGCAAGTTGTAATTTTATTTAAAGATAGATGAGGAGCAGAGTCAAGCATCGACATGATAACAGCATGGTCTCTAACACGAACCTGTGAGGCCAAATCTTGGTATCTTCTTCGGAAGGCTTCAGAATGAGATCAGCAAAAGCTTTTATAGCAGTGTTTACTGGGAAAGGCGGAGGATTGTCATCAATAGCCCAGAAACGGTTCCTTGCAAATCCATGTTTCTCAAGATTTCCATGTGTTCCATACTGCATAGATATGGTTCTTTCGGATGATTGGAGCAGGCATTTTTTGAGCTTATAAATTATGAAATAAAAATGAAGTTGCCATACTTGGGGAAAACAAATGGGTATTCCACCGCGGATTGCTTTTGGAGGCTTGAAAATGGCCTGAAAAAGGACTTCAAGTCAAAACCATGTTTAAAAGGTGTCATAATTGATGCGGCAACATGCACATAATAAATGAGAAGCCATGAGTGGATACTTAGTTGAGTAATTAAAATTGCATTTGTAGAAAAAAAACAAGAAAAAAAAGGGCTAAGGTCATGAGAAAATGAAACAACATTTTAGTGATATTTCAAAAGGACTCTGGAACTAAGAATATGAAGTATTGACAAAGCATATTAGACATATGTTCAGATCGAATCTAGTTAACGAATAAATTTGTTTTGGCATGGACAAGGATGACAGAGATGTATCGCCCATGCTTCTAATGCACAAATGGATTAAGAAGTTAACCAATGCCGTCATCCATGACATCTTGAATGTTTCTATATACCTTGCTGCTCACAAAAAGCAACTCCTCTCCATGGTCATTCTTCCAAGAGGTTACTTGACCTCCATATAGATGGACCTTGCAAAAGACAAGATAATTGATCAACTACAGGAGCTAAAACCTGATCTAACACAAGGACACATGATTACAATTTTCATGCAGGTACCAGGCCCTACATGCGTGAGGGATTTGCCTTTCGCCAAATTGGTACGCTTCCAACTTGGATAAAAAATAAAGATAAAGAAAAAAATGAAGAACACAGCAAATTTTAAAATAGGACATCTTATAGTCCTATTTGCATGCAAGAATGACATTCGACACCCACTGACAGAAGTTTTAGAGCCTGTTAGGTCTAACAGAGTTAACTAACTAGTGTGTCAAGTCAAGAAGGATTGATCCAGACAACTGGATAACACTAAAAGTTTACCTAGTTATCATTTGTATGGTACAACTCAAGCACCCACTACTAACATTAGCTTCTCTGCAACTACCACAGACCACAATAACTTTGACTTTTTGTTATGTACTTCCTCCGTTCCAAATTATAAGTCGCTTTGACTTTTTTGGTTTATCCATTTTGTTATGTATCTAGACATATTATTTATCTAGATGTATAGCAAAAGCTTGTTCAACACCGGTTGAGATGGTTTGGACATGTCCAATGGAGACCTCCAGAGGCACCGGTGCATAGTGGAATCCTAAGCCAGGATAGTAACGTGAAGAGAGGCAGAGGAAGACCGAAGTTGACTTGGATAGAGGCAATAAAATGAGACTTGAAAGGATGGAATATACCCAAAGAATTAGCCTTAAATAGGAGTGCTTGGAAGACAACTATTCACGTGCCTGAACCTTAACTGCTTCTGCTGGGTTTCAACTCTAGCCTACACCAACTTGTTTGGGACTTAAAGGCTTTGTTGTTGTTGTTGTTGTTGTATGCATAGCAAAATGGATTTACCAACAAAGTCAAAGCGACTTATAATTTGGAACGGAGGGAGTAGGAGTATGCAGTTGTGCGCAACTTCGTTAATACAAACATATCAAATAATAATATCCATATTAGTTAGATATATAGTTTTATGGTCTAGGGCCTCCTCAGCCAAACATGCTAGAACTAAAAACACAGATTCACCATGGTTCCTCCATATTATATCAGAAAAAGGTACCTATCCTATCCTCAGTACTCAAGGAGGCTAGCACCTATCCTACAGGTCATCAGATGTGCATCAGACATTCAGACCAAATTCCAAAACAACCTGATGGTCATCCATCTTGACAACGAAAGGCTATAACCTAGGCCCCTTTCCCTTTCAAGTGGCATAGTCGGTGGGTCTTCTGCCACTAGACCCAACAAGCAGGGCATTGTCCGCATAATATTTGAAGTCTTTCACCATCTTTTTCACAGTCCACTTATTGAGGTGTAAATGTAATAGCGACGCAAGACCAAAACTACTTGTACATTTTTTTTTATCTCTGTGGAGGAATAGATCGCAAAAATTAACTATGGGAAGACTCCGTAATGGTCGAACTTCAATTAGATGGACAGCACCACTAATTCATCCTTCTCGAATTTAAAAGTGAGAAAAACAAAAAATTGCCAACCAGAAAACAAAGCACCGTCGCTTCTTCACGCAAGGACGGCAAAGGTTAAAATGTTAAACGTCAAACGCCGGCACGTCTTCAGTTAACCGGACAGGTGAATTTGGTTGGCGAACCCCGAACGCTCAACCCCATCATAAAAGAAATCCACACGCTTCGCACCCTCCGCTCCTCCCCAACGGAATGGAATGCACCCCAAATCGTCCCGGAAAAGTAGGGGGTGGGAGGCGATCGAGTTCGTTACCTCCGCGGACCAACCGCGTGACTCGCGAAGGACAAGCTTCTCGAGTCCGGTAGGGCCCTTCGTGCGCTCCATGGACGGCAGGTGCGGCGTTGGCGGAGTCGAGGACGACGCGGTGGCCATGTTCCCACGGGCTGAAGTGATCGTAGAGGCGAGACTGCGAGGCTGGACTGCTGGAGACTGGAGTGGAGAGGTGTGTGGCAGCTATTTATAAGCGAGCTCAAGAGTGAAGAAAAGTCTCTCCCGTAAAAGAATGGAACCCTCCCTATGACATGCCCCTCGAATCCCTCCAATCAACAAAAATCTACTCCCTTCGCTTCCTAAACTGTCAAATAATCTAAAATTTCATTAGGTTTATAAAAGGTAGTATCAACTTTTATACTTTATAAATAGATTTTAGTATAAAAAACTATACTATAACTAATAATATAACAATATTTATTCACAGAATGAATATTTATAATTATATATATTTAATTAATTTAAACTGTTTGACTCTAAATCAAGGGGTGTACACAAGTTCTATGAATTAGTATCATCTTATCTTCTTATATTATCAAAAAGTTGGGATTCCTATGGAATGGAACTATGCAAAATCAGAACAAAACACGTTGGAATGTTAGTTATTTCGACACAAACTTGGATCAGTACGTCCAAACCGAGTGTTCAGCACAAACATTGTGGTTGTAAACTTTGGCGTCGAGCAGACTGATAAGAATAAAATGGATGCACCAGTGCTTTTCAACCAAACCAAAGCCTCGCCAGTCTCCTGGTGCTGACTTCCGGAGACTGTTCGGCACGGCTGGTTGGATCGTGGATTATTACTGCTGGCTGGTTTGATGTGAGAGAAAATACTGTTCTCGCTGGAAGACACTGTTCATATGAACAGTACCCGCGTGAGAGGCTGGCCACAGCCAGCCAGCCAGCCAGCCGAACAGGCTGAGGATCCTTCCGGGAGACCGACGCGTTTCTCTTAGCACTTCAGCAGAATATATGTCGCCTTCCATATTGATCACATTCCCATCCAGACTATAAAATTCCGACATGCCCGTCCAGACGCAAACACGCTGATTCCAAGTATATGCTTGGCACCAGACAAAGCTGTGTACATGTGTCAACAAATGCTTCGTCACAAGGAACCTCAGGCTAGTAAACATATCCTTGAAACCATTCGGCTCTGAATGGCGTGCTGCCACAAGTTCAGCTGTTGGTGAACATCACTATGGGGGTGAAAAAAAAAGCCTGAACTTTACATCTAATGAGTAATGGCCAATGTAAAGTTGCCCAAATTTGCACAGATCGATGAGATGATGAATAATTCATCTGCTTGACTAGAGACTATAAAATTTCTAACTTGTCTTGTATCGTATGCAATCCATCAAATGGCTCCTTTCTTTGTTATCTCTTGATTTCATATTGTTTGGTGCTTTACTTCGACATACCTACAACAAAATCAAACACAGTATGAATATCCTATCTCCAGATGTGTGCTGTATCAAAAAAGAAAGAACAAGAATGTTCTGTTTAGTAACCACAGTACACAGACTGCAAGATACGTTTATTGAACCACATTGTTCAAGCTATAGTTTATTGGAAATCTTACTGGTGGATCCTAATTTTTTTTTCTTTCACAAAGTAGAAATAATGTAGCAAAATTATGTGAGCCACATTTGCTCACAATTCATGTGCAAGTAAAATGTGAGATGTCAAGCCACAAAGACATGTTAAATTATGAACCATACATACTTTCCAATATAGTGTAAAGAAAGCACTTTAAATGTGAAAAATAGTTGAGAAGTTATTGTGCACAAAATAGCTATAATTCTGGGCCAGGGATAAAATATTTAAACTACACATGTTCCTATGAGAAAAGAAACAAAATTATCAGATTATTATTGTTCAAATTCTCTTTCTTTTAGGAGAAAGCATGTATCCACCGGTTTTATTATAGCACTACCGCTGGGTTTGAAAATTAAAGAAAACATGATAGAGCAGCTAGTTAAATCTTAAAGTTTGAAGTACATGGTATCAAATGGGAACTTAAAAGTCAAGGATTCAAGGGCATACTTTGCAAGTGCGATACTTTCATTTAATAAATGGTAATCCAGAGTGTACTCTCTGTGCGTATTCATCGTATTCTGAGCCAAAGAACTGCCTCAAGAAAAATTCTTCATACCTGCTCTGGGTGAAGGAATCACAAGAAAAACTAGTTTTACTCTTTTCACGAAGATGTTCATATTCAATGGGTGATGAAAACACATAAAGTGGTATGCTTCTGACAGTTCAATAATTGAGATGAAGAGTCTATAAAATATTTTTCAGGCAGGATACGGTATCCGTTTTGAAAAGAATCGCCACAAGACCAATGTGAATGCAACTGTTGATAATGGATTACACAGCATAACCTGGGTTCCTACTGCCCATATAAGAAAGCCAGAATACCCAGGATGGCGCATAAACCTGTATAGTTAAGCAGAATAGAACAAATTAAACTTCTGAATTGTTGTAGTGCAAATGTAAAGTAGTAACTCAATAACTTTGGAACTATTGCAAAAAATAAAGAATCATTTACCTATACAGTCCATGGGTGATCAACTGATGCTGATCTTCATAATAAGTTCTTATAACGTGCGTGAAGGCACGTCCAGCTGTCACTACAGCAAGTTTACGGATAATTTCACCGACAATAACCATTAGAAGGCCAGTATTACTGACAAACCAGTACTCCTTTACTTCCGGGAAAATAAGAATTTCTGTCAGGTGTTCCAGCATTGCAAAACCCATTGCCAATACATACTGCTTGCTAATAAGAAGTGCTGCAAGAGAAGCAACTTCATTACTAACAACACCGCCAAAAATAAAGATAGGATAATGCAAAGTATAATCTAAACTGTAAGAAATTAAGGAAAAAAAGCTAATAATCAATAGTATCAACATCGCATGCCAAATGCTTCTTCAGGTGCTGTTTGATCAGTGTCCAGTTGCTAAAAAAAAAAAAGTTTGGGCTTTTGGCTGTGTTATTTGAATACTGAATATCGACCATCCTACAGTTTTGGTGGATTGGACTTCTTGTCCACAAAAGACCACCACAACTTTGAGAACTCTTGATATATTCGCCATTGCCATCAGAGCGAATTTAAAGATTTAACAGTTTAAAACAAAACCAGCATCACACTAGGCTATGTTTCAGAAAATATTTATGTATGCATTGGTGTTCTGAAATGAGAATACCGTGAACGTTGGTGTAACCTAGTGCCTGTTTTGGAAAGAACCCTGGTTTGATCGCATACTACATCAGCTAGCCAAATGCAAGCTACAGTTGCACAAGCCCACTTAAAAGTAACTAATCAATTCATACTCTATTTGCTTTGAGGGGAAGAGAGTAAAGGCTCCTACAGAGATTTTATGTTTGATTTGTTCTATGCTGGTATATTGGGCAGGGCTTCAGAAACAAGAGGTTGCAACTCAGATGGAACATGGGGCGGCGATTCTGAAGTAAGTGGCTTTGCAATTCCACCAGCAAGTCCAACAGAAGGGGGGTGACTCTCAGGCGATCATCAAGACTTGAAGGCTTCAGTTCTTTGCTGCTTGGAAGTCAGTCATCGCTGGCCTGCATGCCGTGGCAGCCTCATCTGGCTTGTATTAAGTTGGGTCAGTTTTCAGTGTTAGCTTCTTATGTCGGTCTGAAACCTGTTGTTTGCTGGATGTGGCGTAGCCGCCATCTCTTTTTTGGTTGCTTCTCTGGCTGAGCCCTTTGTGCTTGGGCTGGAGGGAAAGTAATGTCTCGGAAACTGGGCAGATGACTTGAAACCTGTGTAAATTCTTTACTATCCGTAATGAAATTCGGTTCGCCCAGTGTGGAAAAAAAAACTAATGACTTATGAACCAATTAATTAGTTATAAGTTTCATTTGTCAATTGTCAAAACCTGCTCCATTGGTGAATTTTGATCATACTTTCCAATTTTGGAGCTTTTAACTAAAAAATCCCATTACGATATGTTCCTTAATTTCTAAATTCATTAGGATCAACACTTGGCAGCTTGTTTCTGTTAAATGGAATAGATAGGTGCTAGCTGCTAAAGTTGACATAGATCAGACAGCAAAAGCAGTTTACAAAATATAGACTACAAAGTCTACTACAAATACTCTGGCTAGGTCAAATGACAGTTCAAACCCAAGCAAGAAATTGCCAAGACATAGTCCCATCTTTACTCAGCAGCAATTTGCTTCAACTACTCAGTGAGACTGCTAGAATCTAGTAACAAGACTGAGGTGCAATCTAGGAATAGCTTTCAAATCTAGTAAACCTCACGAGCACAATTCAACTCACGCAGCGATTTGCTTCAACTTCTCAGTAGAGCGCTAGAATTTACTCCAGGTTTAGGATTTGCACGGATTTGCACGACACCAGTTTCAAATCCACCGAATTTCACGAACACAGTCCAAGCCTCACTCAAATCAGAAGAGACATGGAGTCATGGCGCACTCACAAGTAGCGGTGACGTTCTGGCGGCCGTGGAAAGCGGCAGCGAGGACGTACTCGAAGCCGTGGAAGAAGACCAGCGCGGCCGCAAAACTGCCACGCCTGTCTCCGGCCGGACATGGCCAGAGCAGGGATCTGGAGCCCGAGGGTTGTGCTAGGGCTCTGGGGTGCTGCCGTGCTAGGAGGAGATGCTTCACCGCGAGGTGGGTCGAGGAGGGGATGCCGCATGCGGGCACTTTTAGACAAGAGGCATGCCTAGGCTTTTTCGCCACGCGCCTGTACGGGAAAAGCGAAGCTTGTGCCGGCGTCTGTGCTCTACCGCGGCATCGGCGGCGTACCGCGCCGCCGCGCGTGCCGGTGCTGCTGTGAGACGGCAGTGGCGGCGAGAGGTTTGCGATGGAGAAGGAGAGGTGAGGGATCGGGCTCGGCCGAACAGGAGGCCCGGGGCCCAGGACCAGTTGGGTCCGGCTGGTGCCCAAACATCAAACATGGCTGGATCGGACCCGATAACAATATATCAGATATACAGCCTGTTGGCTTATTGGTTTCAGTCAGCCCAAACCAGTCAGTCAACAGTGTTTTTCTCTCACAATAAACCAGCACCAGCCAGTCCAAACCAGTCCAGAAATCAACCAACGAACAGGCCGATACAAAGTTGAAGGAAAAATGAGTCATATCTTCCGTATTGATGTATATATAGATTTTGTTAGTGATGAAAAGAAATCATCCGAGAATTTTTTTCAATTAGATCTATAGCTACTGTTTGTTATCTATTTCTAATTTATCTTTAATCGGATCAGACCAACTTATTTTGACCGTTGCTTTTACTTTATTTGTGCAGCTTAGCTGGAAAGCGCTTCCCGCTGTCTCAAACAGGGCCATAGAGAGCCGGCTGGGTGTTCAAAGTGCACATAATAAGATATACAAGATATATAAAAGAATAGAAAGATATAGATAGTGATTTTTGTTCCAACGACTTTCTAAGTGATGATTTAGAAGATAAATTCAAGATGAGACGGTTAGATAGTCCCCCAGGGAAGTTAAAATCGAAAATGGTCATTCACTCAGATAATTGACCTATGAACTCGCACCTCTACACGCTTAAAATTGTTGATTTTGATTATGTCGACGAGAAAACTCACTCATACACACATGACACCTCTCATACACCTATATTTATTAACTCACGTACATGTCATGCAATGAACGTGTACTATATATGGAGTAGTAGCTTAGACCAAAAATTGATGCTTGCCGTGGCAAATTATATATGCGGAATATTGTGAAAAATTCTAGTGAAATGGCAAACTGATGAATTGTTCCATCAGTCATCGGAGAAAGAGAGCCATGGAACATGCACGAGGAGAAATACAGTACTATAGTAGATATAGGCTGTGTTCGGCTGGCTTGTTTCCAGCCGGCTGGCTTGTTTTTCCTCTCACAGAATCACTGTTCACGTCCTGCCAGAACAGTATTTTTCTCTCACAACAATCAGCCGGAACAGTATTTTTCAGTACTGCCGAACAGGCCCATATATAGGGACGACGAGGAGTCGACAAGCACGAGGATAATTTCAGAGACAACGCTCTCCTCGGCTCCATTATGCGCACGTTCTGGCGCGTTTAGTTCAAAAAAAATTTTGGTTTTTTTCATCACATCGAATTTTTAGACGCATGCATGGAGCATTAAATATAGACGAAAAAAAACTAATTGTATAGTTAGGTAAAAAATCACGAGACAAAATTTTCAAACATAATTAGTCCATAATTAAACACGAATTGTCGAATACAAACGAAAGTACTACGGTAACCAAATCCAAAAATTTTCGCGAACTAGACGTGCCCGACCAGGGTACACAGACTGGCAGCAAATGCGTGCTTGCTATTCACATACAGTGCGGATCTGCCACCGGGGCTGGGGGCTCTGGAGCTGCAGCGCAGCACAACGTCCGCACCAGCAAGCAGCACGGTAGTAGCCAGGGCCCAGCACAACCACACGTTCGCTTGTTGGTTTCACAGCTTATTCAATCAGTTAACAATGTTTTTTTTTAAAAAAATCAATACCAACAAGTCTAAACCAGCACCAGCACCAACCAGCAAACATGGTGGTACAGCTTGTTCAGCCCTCCTGAGATTTTGTCCTAGATCTGCACTGTTCACATGTGCTATCAAAAGCAAGGAGAAAAATAGCACAACTGCAGCAGCTTTGTCACAAAAGTCGCATGCACTGCGTGGTGTATAGTCGGCTACTCGGCTCGAGCACGTTAGTATGTTCGGTTGGCTGGTTCGTTTCATTGTTGGTTCGTGAAGAAGTACTGCTAGTTGATTTATGTGAGAGAAAAATACTGTTTCAATTGAAAATTTACGATCGTTTACGACAAGCCACAGCCAAACAAACATGTCGTGTGGTTTTTAGTGTCCCAGGTTGCATGCGCTGAAAGCCTGCAACAGATAGATAGACACCACCAAGAGCGCTTCTCCTAGGCCGCGTTTAGTTCGGCCTCGGATTCGGCGCCGCCGGAATCCGATGTACTGTAGCGACACTGTTGTGCGTTTATTTTTATTCGGTAATAATTGTTCCATCGTTGACTAATTAGACTCAAAACGTTCGTCTCGCAAAGTACAACTAAATTATGCAATTAGTTTTTGATTTCGTCAACATTTAGTACTCCATATATGTACCGCAAATTTAATATGACAGGAAATCTTCTTTTTACATAGTGCCAAAATCTGTAAAACAACGAACTAAACAAGACCCTAGACACGTTTGCCGCCGGTGCACCTCACCTGGACGTCTTCAGGGAAGAGCACAGCCGCGCAGGTGCTCGAGGTGTACACGTCAATGGCACGCGGGCTCCACGCAACTCTACGTGGCCCTTGGGCACTACCCCACCCTCCGTCACGTTAGCTCCGCGTCGAGGGGCCGCCCATCCCGCCGTTTCCCAGCTCGCATATTGCCAACCGTTGGATTGTCCACCAGCTCGATCTCTCCCCTCTCCAGCCCGCCGGTCGCGATTCGTTTGGGCCCACTCGCAGAGGGGGACACATCGGCACGGCACATGGGTTACAGGTGAGAGAGAAAACGGCGCGGTCAGCAGCAGGAGTAAAATAAGGCCATGTTTAGTTTCCCAGATTTCCTGAATTTAACACTATAAAAAAAAAAATTTCTTGTTACATTAAATTTACGGTACATGTATGAAGTATTAAATGTTAACGAAATTAAAAACTAATTGCATAGTTTGGTTGTACTTTGCGAGATGAACGTTTTGAGCTTAATTAGTCAATGATCGGACAATTATTATCAAATAAAAACAAAATGCTACAGTGTTTGAACAGTGCTGCCGAATCCGGCCTCCAACTAAACACGGCCTAAGTCAATTTCTAGGTATTTAGGCGCAGTCTCGTATTATCTCCTCGCTAATTATTTAATATATTGGATTCGCAGCTAATTAAATCTGGAAGTATAGCTTCCCCACAAGGAAAGAAGGGAAGAAAAGAGGCGGAGAGAGGCGAGGAAGGAAGAAATCGAGGAGGGGATTGGATTGGACTGCGACTGTGGTTTGATTCTAACGGTCCTCCTCCAGATTCCAGACCCAATCCCAAATCCCTAATCCTGGAAAGGGATCCCAAATCCGGCGTCCAGTCCAGTCCAACCTGTAGTTGATATCCCCCGCCGGCTTGGCCGTCCGTCCTTGCCCCAATTCCGATTGACCGGAGAGGATTTGGATCAGGGAGCATTGGAATGGCCGCCACCGCATAGGATGGAGCTGGATTCCTCCGGCCGCTGCTCGGCTGCTCCTGTGGATGCTGTGATCGTCGCGATTGGAGGTGGAAGCGAAGGTTCTCTTCAGTAAGGGCTCGAAGAGCTGCGGTGTAGCTGGTTGGGCATGGAGGAGGGTGGCGGCAGCAGCGGAAGGCCGGAGGACGCGGCGCCGCCGTGGAGGCCGAGCGAGGCCACGGCGTTCGGCCGTTTTGCGGCCGCCGCTGCTTCGCCGGAGGCGTCCCCGTCGGCCTCCGCCAATGGGGTTACTGCCCGCGTCAGCAGCCTTCATGGGGTCAAGCGGAAACCGGTATGGCTTGTTCTCAACCCTTTTCTCTGTTGCTTCCGCATCTTCAAATTCATGGGAAGTATGAGGAAGTAGCTCTGTTGCTTCCACATATTCAAATTCGTTGGAATTATGAGGAAGTAGCATGTTAGTGTAGCTGAATTCCCTTTTCTTTTGTATACTGGTGATCAACTGAAGCCCGTAGACTGATCATTTGACTGTCGCGTCAAGTTGTTGCTTGATTGGTTGCTTGTGCATAGGTTCTATTCAACATTTTCCTGGTCTAACTGGTTTAAAAGAGTGGAACGATTTCTGGTTCGTCGATGGACTCATGTGTTATTGTGGTTTCAAGTAAAATTGTTGCACTGCGTACAATTGCAGGGAGGTTTCAAATTGAGAATGAAAGAATTTTAACGCTTAATAACATTGACTAGCGTATATGGTAAGCATTATGATGGTAAGAATGTTCTAGGATGTAGTACTCACCTCTAGTTGTTTTAGCATATTCCCTTGCTAGTGTGTTGTTAATGAGTGTTCTGGCTAGCTCTTTTCAGGCTTGATGAGCATCTGAGCAAGACCGAACCAGTATCATTCAGCACTTATGTGATATATTGTTATGTGTTTCTTCCTTGTGTGTATGTGTGTATTGATGTTCTGTTCTCTTGTATAAACCCTTCTTTCATGTGATATTATCTAAAAGCCTATCATACAGCACTTGCTTGTGACATATTGTTATGGGTTTCTTCCTTGTGTGTATGTGTAATGTTCTGTTCTCATGTAGAAACGCTTCTTTCATGTGATGTTATCTTCTGTTACTTTTGATGCTCTGGTGTTCGCTGACTCTTTTTACAATGCAGTTTGTTGCACGATTAACAGCAGGCATCATTCAGACATATCTACAATGTGATCCTGAGTTTAAGTACTCAGAGGTTCTAAATCCAAAACGCTTCCTCACCAGTCCCTCTACCCCAGCCCACAATGATGGACTTGACAATGCAAATTGGGACCTCATGTTGTACGTCAACTTGGAGTTGGTTAATAAGATGTCAAACAGAAGGTGGTTCTTCTTTCACTTGGTGTTCGTTGTGCCATATTTGCTTATTTCATGATATTGAACTGTACCTTGTTATTATTGTACTTAGGTTTATTGTCAAGGAAATGCTTGGGCAGGGAACTTTTGGTCAAGTAGTTAAGTGCTGGGACACACAAACTAACGACTATGTTGCTGTGAAGGTGATAAAAAACCAGCCTGCATTTTACCATCAAGCTATCATGGAGGTTTCACTATTAAGAACGGTATGATAGTTCATTAGAAACTTAACTTCATTTTGCTCAATAGGTGCGACTAACCATTATGATTCTGGATGTACGTGCAGTTAAATCAGAAATTTGATCCTGATGATCAGCATAACATTGTCCGAATGCTTGATTATCTGTCATTTCAGAATCATTTGTGTATAGCTTTTGAGATGCTGGGTCAAAACCTGTAAGCTGATTTCTTAAAACCTTTTTGCCTAGCAGCTTCATCCCGTGTTTTTTTTTCACACTGCAAGCTCCCATTTCAGGTATGAACTGCTCAAAAGGAACCACTTAAGAGGTCTTAAACTGAAATATGTTCAAGCCTTCTCAAAACAGGTGACATATCTGTTAGTGTATCATATGAATGCCAATTATCTACTGCTATGTTACCAAATTGTGTTTGTTTATGTTTTTATTAGATATTGGATGCCATGGTTGTGATGAGAGAAGCTGGAATAATTCATTGTGATCTGAAGCCAGAAAATATCCTGTTAGCTCCCAGGTGAGTTACCCTTTTGATCGTTGGAACTTTCCATTATAGTTTTTGGGATACTACTTTAAAGAACATTGTAGCTTGACGGCGTAAGATGAATTTACAGTGTCGCAACAGCTGCAGCAGTGAAAGTTATTGATTTTGGATCAGCATGTCTGGAGGGTAAAACGGTTTACTCATACATCCAGGTTTTCTTTTTTTTTGAACTCTGTAGATCAATTTTTTTATTTCTTATCTAAGTAATGTTGGTTAACTGAAATAAGGTATTGATTCTTCCCTTATATTTTGCTAGAGCCGCTATTACAGGTCTCCAGAGGTTCTCCTTGGCTATCCGTATCCTGTATAGCTATTGGAAGTGTTTTTATTTCACTTACTACTCCGGTCACAAAAATATGTCATTTAGGACAAGATTTGGTCAAACCTTAAGAGTTACAAGCATCAACGGCAACTTCTAAATCTTTTAGTTTGGAGACATGTCATGTGTAGATTTGTATTGGAAAAGGATTTTACAAGATCTCATAGTTTTGGAGGATTTTAAGAACACATTCTAGAAGATACTAGCGATGAAGAATATGAATAGAAGATGTATACAAAGTCAAATGTGTCAATTATTTGTGATCGGAGGTAGTAAAAGCTGTTAGCAATTTTTTTATGGAACACTGTTTACTTACTAATGTATTTTTTCAATAAAGTGCTGCCATTCTTGTAGAGACACACCGAGCCTTGTGCTGTAGAGGAGCCGTCAGGCCCCCGGGGACGCCTGCTGTAGACGAAGCGGATGTCCCGCGGGACAGCCGCTGGAGGTGCAGCCACTGGAGACGGAGCAGCCGCTGGAGGTGCTGCCGCTGGAGAAGTAGCAGGTGATGGAGCTGCTGGAGCTGCTGCTGGTGGAGCGGCAGGAAGTACAGGGCCGTGGAACAGGATTGCGGGGTCGTCGGTCAGCTCCTCAATGGAACTGGGAGGTGGCCACCCAGCAGCAGCTGGCAAAGATGCAGGACGCACCGGCACTGTAGTTCCTGCAATCAAAAAATCCAGGTCGCTGTGCGAGGACCTGGAGGGGTAAAGCCCGAAGGGAAAACAAGTCTCATCGAAGACCACATGGCGAGAGATGATGACGCGCTTAGTGGCCATGTCGAGACAGCGGTACCCCTTGTGGGAAGATGGATAGCCGAGGAAGACACATGCTGTGGAGCGAGGAGAGAGTTTGTGGCGAGCCGTGGCGGACAAGTTTGGATAACATAGACACCCAAAGACACGTAGGTGGGAATACTCGGGAGGTTTGTTGTGGAGGAGAGTATATGGAATGCCGTGGCTAACAGCGGAGCATGGACGCCTGTTCAGAAGATATGTGGCTGTGGCGAGCACCTCAGCCCAGTACTGAGGAGGCATGTGTGCATGGAGGAGCATTGTGCGATTGATGTTGTTTAATGTGCAAAGAAGACGTTCAGCTTTGCCATTTTGTGGGGAGGTATATGGACATGAGAGGCGTAAATGAATACCACGAGAAGCAAAGAGAGTATGGAGGGTATGGTTGACGAACTCAGTGCCATTGTCGGTTTGGACAGCCTTGATGGCAAGGCTGAATTGAGTGTGGACATAATTGCAAAAATTTGCAATGTGTGGAGACATCAGATTTGCGAATGAGTGGAAAAGTCCAACAAAAATGAGTATAATCATCAAGTAAAACTAGATAATATTGATACCCGGAGACACTTGCAACCGGGGATGTCCATATATCACAGTGAACAAGTTCAAATGGCATAGAAGTATGTGAACTGGAATTTGAAAAAGGGAGGCGCACATGTTTGCCAAGCTGACAGGAATGACATAGCAACTGCTCTAATTTATTACAGTTGATGGACGCATTACGACGAAGAATGTCAATGGTGGCGGAGCTGGGATGACCAAGACGGTGATGCCAGAGGTCGGTGGAGGCGGCAATGTTGGTGTGTGGAGCGGAAGATGCAGCAGGGAAGGTGTAAAGATCACCAACACTATTGCAGCGAAGCATCACGCGTCGGGTTGGGATATCCTTGACAGAAAAACCAAGAGCGTCAAATTCTATAGAGCAGTTGTTGCCCCTAGTAAATTGACTGACAGATAGGAGATTGCAAACTAGAAATGGGACAACTAAGACATTATTAAGATGAAAATTGGATGATGGTGTATGAAGAACAAACTGGCCACGACAGGAAACAGGAAGATGTGCACCATTGCCGACTGTAATGGAAGAATGAGGAGGAGGGTGACGAGAGAGGAGTATACCATCCGAGGAGCTCATGTGGGAGGAGGCGCCGGAATCCAGGACCTAGGGATGCTGTCCCTGGAGATGCATCTGATTGAGGGCAGCGACGAGACCGTCCTGGTTCCACATGGGAGCTGATGGAGAGACGTGGAGCGGCGCAAATGTCGTGGGAGGCTGTGGAGGCGCCAAGGCCGTATGAGCCTGAGGAGGGGTGCCAAGCACGCCTGGACGCCAGCCGGCCTGCTGCTGTGCCGAAGGAGGACCCTGGGGCGCCCATGGATTGTAGCAAAACCAGGGGCCCATGGGGCGGTATTGACCAGTTTGGCCAATGCCGCCGCGCTGCTGCGCAGAGCCGCTGTTCCAGCGCCGGCCCTTGCCCTTGCTCTTGCTGCCGCTGCTGTTGCCACCGCCGCCGCCCTTGGTGCTGCCGTAGCCGGTCACATGTGGGTTGTGTGGACCTCCAGAGGTGGCTGTGGCAGCGAGAGCACGACACCCGCCCGGGCTGGTGCAGCCAGAGCCGGCGTTGGTGAGAAGAGCGGTGTTGGCGACCGTCATTTCGTCATTGGCGAGACGGAGCTCCTTGAGGGCCAGCATGTCATGAGCCCTCGCGAATGTGGGAAGAACAGTGGAGTTGGCGATGTCGTCGGCGGTGTTGGAGAAGCGAGGATTGAGGCCGCGAAGGAGGGCGAGGACGAGCTGAGTCCTGGACAGGGTGCCCGACGTCGCGAAGAGCGGCGGCCTTGATCTTCAGCCGCTGGCAGTACGCCGAGATGGTGCTGTCACCTTGCACCATGGAGTGGAATTCGTTGAGGAGGAAGATGGCGCGGGGCTCCCGGTTGGCGCGGAAAATCCCTTCAATGGCCACCCACAGATCACGGGCGGTGGGATCGGCACCGTCCATGGCGAGGTCAAGGACGGAGTCGTCGACGGAGCCGGAGATCCAGCCTCGGACGCAGCACTTAGCGGCATCCCACTGAGGATCATCAGGACGAGGAGGAGCAGAGCCGTCGATGTGCAAGCGAAGGCCGAACTTGCCGCACAGCGACTTGAAGAAGAACGCCCACTTGGAATAGTTGGATTGCAGGTCCAGCGTGAATGGGATGTGGGACTTGACATTGACTGTGGCGTAGTTGTGAGCCACAATCGGGGCAGCAGCGCCGGTGGTCATGGCAGGCATGGTTGGAGTGGCTGTCGCGGGCAGGGTGCCGGCACTGGTTGCCGAGGAGGATGAAGAGGCCATCGGAGATGAGGGTGAGAGGAGAACAGCCGGTGAGGGTGGACGGGCACGAGGAAGACGCGCGCGGTGGGCTGCTGCTGCGCGAGCAGGGAGAGAGCATGGGAGGAAGGGGCAGGAAAAACAGGATCTAATAGGCTGATACCATGTAGAGACACACCTCACACCCAATATGGGGGGGTGACCTTCATATATATAGCCAATATGGCTGGGTATACAAGGAATACAATCAAGTATACATAGAAGGTGCTAATCATGGCTAATCACACATAGACTTGCCTAATAATTCTGCTGTTCTGGCATTTTCTTAGGTGAAGTTCAAGTGGCTTTCTTGAACCTTAACATTTAACAGATATACTACTGCGATCGACATGTGGTCGTTCGGCTGCATAGTTGCTGAACTGTTTCTAGGCTTGCCATTGTTTCCTGGAGCATCAGAATATGATGTGCTTCAGCGGATGATGAAAATTCTCAGGCAAGTTTTTTTTACCTCTAAACTATTCATTTTGCATGCAATCATGCTCATGTTAATGGCTGCATGCTAATGCTTTATTGAGTCTCATGTAGTCAATCTTATATTTTTATTATCTCCTTTACTCAGCTAAGAATTTAACACACCTGGGCATATGTTTGCAGGGGCCAACCACCAGATGAACTGCTAAGGAAGCTAAAAACACTATAAGGTTTTTAAACATGCTGGAAGTATATATCCTGGCAATGAGGCACCTACTGGTCTTTCTAGTGCATACAGAATTTTAAGTGAAGAAGAGGTTGAAGTGGTAAGTTTCTTGTGATTTCACCCAAAATGACTCTGGATCCTTTGGTTTATACTCTGTCACTGTGCACTGCCTTACTATTTGTGCTAATAACACTATAACAGAGAGATTCCAAAAGGCCAAAGATGGGAAAGTGGTACTTCCCACACCTGAAGCTTGACAAACTCATATGTACCTATCCTTGGAACAATTCCGAACTGACAGGTTTGTTTAATGTCTCTTTTCAGTTTCTAAACTCATATGTATAGTATGCTTATTCTTTGTTAGTCAGGTCAATCTAATTTTATTGCTTTGCCATTTTCATGTTTGTTTTGTTATTTATTAAACATGATGTTGGTATTTTCTTAAGTTGTGTAGTTCCTCGTGTTAAAAGCATCATCTTTTGTGTTCACATCATGTTCATTTGTACAGTATAGACTACCGTTGGAACTTAGAACTACATTATTGAATTTATTACTTGAAAATTTGACATTTTTTAGCTGGTTTCCTGAATAGACGAGTGAGAGTTCTTACAATAAAGCTTGGCAAGTTTGATATTATGTTCTCAGGTCTTGCATTTTGATTCAGAGACAGAAAAAACAGATCGTTTGGGATTAGTTGATTTCTTGAAGGGACTCCTTGAATTTGATCCAAATAAGCGATGGTCACCATTGCAGGTATGGCTGCTGCGATTGGCACAATTTCATTTCCTAACTGTTATCTACATTCTCATGTTAGGGGCTTAGGGCATGTCTAGATGTTTTCTCCTATTGACCTATTGGTATTATAATTTTTTTATCGATTTTGCATGCACTACACATTCACGAGAAGTTGATATTCAGAATAACTTTTTTGTGTCATCTAGAATTAAATTGATTGTTTTCTGAAACCTATTTCAGGCTCTATATCATCCATTCATAACAGGCGAATCATTCACCAGTCCATATGAGCCTGTACCTGAGACTGCAAGAATTGTGAGTATGGTCTTATTTTCATATTTTATTTTGTATACGAAAAGAAATACGCTTCTCTTTGGGGGTTAATGTATATATCTAACTTGATAATAGTAGGAATTACAGATGTTTCTTCTTGAAGCTATTTTGTGATGATGAATTGCGGTGTATTCCCACATGATTTGATGTTTCCTATTAATCATGTTCCTACACTGTTACTATTCAAGAATATATTGAATATGTCGTATTTTGTCTATATAATTTGTGCACATGAATATTTGCCTGCATGATGGGCACATCTATACACTCTCTGATGTACCTTTAAAAATATCTTTTTTTGCTCATGTTCATTCAGACATTGATCCCATTCTTCTCTCCCTAACTTGTCCCATCTTTCATTTGTATTTTAGCCTGTTGCTTGTGCTGCAGCAATTGATCACAATCCTGGTGGGGGCCACTGGCTACATTCAGGTCTTTCCCCACAGGTGATAGACGTCCTCTCATTTCCTGTTTCTGAGTTGAGTTTTATTAGAAATAATAACAATATGGAATCTTTCTTAAACCATCATGCCCTATACTTGAAACTTGTAGGTTGGAAGTGTGAACAGATACCTACCTGTGAATAATGCCTACCCTCCAAAGGTTCCTTTTTCTTATGGGAGTAGTTATGGAAGCTATGGTAGTCATGGTAGCTATACCGGTAATCCTGGTTTTGGTAACAGCTACGGAAGCACTGGTGATGTTAATGCTATCAATATGTATTACTCACCCTTAGGTTCTTCTGGATTAGCGCAAATTGGCTCTAGTCCAGATGTTAGATTAAGGATGCGTTTCCCGCATGATAGAGGAATTCGATTGAGTCCTGGTAGTCTTGGGCCGATGTCTCTTGGAGCCAGTCCATCGCAGTTTACGCCACCAAACTACCAGATGCAAATCCCAGCTAATTCTACTGGGAAGCATGGTTCCGGTTCTCCTGCGAGTGGAGGCATTCATGGTTCTCCATTAGGAAAAGCTGCAGCAGTGGGCCCATACAACATGAGGAGGAATTTGCCAATGCCGCCACATGATTATGTATCTCAGCATGGACAAGGGCGTTTTGGAGATGGTGTCAGTTTCAGTCATTCTGATGCCTATGCTCGAGGACATACAGGCCACTCTCATAATGCAGCAGGACCTAGTTCTTGTCATTCTGGTTGGAGACCACAAATAGGTTCAAGGAGTGGTATTTCCTTGGAGGCCTCGTCTAGTCATGTGCCTTCACAGGCTCCGTCACAATCATTTGACTTTTCAGCTTCATCAGAACTTGATCCTGCTAATTGGGACCCTAATTATAGGTTTGGAATACTCAAATTGATTCTTGTAAACTTGTATAAAAGGTAATATTAATCTAATCTATACCATGTTCCATTTTGTAGTGATGAGTCACTATTGCAAGAAGACAATTCACTGTCAGCTGATCTAAGTAGCAATCTCCACTTTGGAGATGCAGGTGGCCAAGGGAGTGGATCTATCAGATCAGCAAATTTCCAAGGCCATGTCTTTGCTGCATCTAACCCTGTACCAACAAACCAAAGGTTTTGCGACCTAACTAATTTATACTCCTCATTTTCCTTAACCACTCAGAATATTTTGAACTTCCCTGGTTATTTGCCTTTCTTTGTAAGACTGCTGATTTGTTCTACTGTTTTTGGTTACAGAGCAGATCAATTATTTCATGTGTCCTCTCAAGGAGTGAATGCCCATTCTAGTGTTCCCATCAACTACGGTGGTTACAACCCTCCAAACTATCCTCAGCAAAATCTCCGTCCCCGTCATGGACAGCCTATTCTTCATCAGCGATATAACCAGGCAACTTCCAGTCCAATGCGGCCAATGGGAAGCCATCACAGTGGGCAGCCTGCATGGCCTAGTAGTTTTGGCATGGGCGATGGAGTGCCCTGGGGTAATCTATCCACTCCTTTATCTTAAAGAAATGTTCGGTTTGAGAGGGAATAGGGGAATTGGCAGAAAACGGAACTCATGTTCCATGCGAACCCCCAATCCCTTCACAACTTTTGCCCTGTTCGCTATCGATAAGCCATGGCTGAAAAATCTTGTTGGCTGATTTGTTGTGAGAGAAAAATACTGTTCGTTGGCTGAAAAATCGACTTATAAGCCAAGCGAACAGGGCGTAAAGTGTAAAGAATCTTTTCCTGCAAGGATATTAACCGTAACACCCAAATCTGCAGGAGGAACAGGAGGGCACTCATTTACGACAAGTGAGCTACCTTCATCTCTTCCAAGAAAGGATTATGGGAGCATCTTTTAGTGTGTAGTTGAGGACCGGAGGAATGTCATTGATTCATTGCAGGCGTAAATTATTTGTATTAGCGAAATTGGAGTGCGATGATTCTGGTTGATTGTTTTCGATGTTGTTACCCCATCCCTCCCCTTGGTCCTTTGTGAACAAGACACTGGATATACAATATATGATCGATGACAATAGCATTCCTTTGTAACTTTTTTTAGCAATCAGAAGTTTGGGTCTTCCCTGATTGCTGACTGCACTGAGGTTGCACTGAATATCAACCCCTGTCGTTTGTTCGCTTCTCTTATAATCCGTACTTTTTAGCTTGTTTTTTAGTGAAACAATGTTTTTCTCTCAACAAATCAAATCGATCGAACAGATATTTCAGCTTTTTTTTGAGCGAACCGAACAGCGCCAAAGCGTTCTGTACGAAGGCTCAGTGTGCTACAGATTAATCCGTGAGTTAACAGGCCTGCACATTAGCGGCCCTTGGAATGCAGGAATTGTACAGGAATATCAGAAGAATCAATTCATTTTTACAGGAAATAGGAAATTTTCCTGATTGTTCTAGTTCATCCATTTTCACAAAACACAAAAATAGGAAAATTTCCCGATTGGGCTATGCAGTGCATGGAGAAGTCTTATGGAGTCTATGTAACTATTGCTTAATTTGATTTACCTCTTCGAACTAGAAAACTCAAAACCGGATGTTTTGGTTCCTGCAATTACTGAAACAAGTTGTTTGTTTGCTTCTTGGATGGTTGTGAAGTGATTTAGTTTGACGTGGTACCTTGTCAGCCACAAGAAGATAAATTGGACTACATCGATAGTTTAGTCAGCAGATAAATATAGTTTGTCAAAATAGTTATAAAACAAAATTCAAATAGTTTCTTAAAGTTTTATGGACATAAAAATCCAGAAATCTGATTTATTTGAAAAAAATATCTTAGTTCAGAAAAATATGAAACTAGTTTGAGTTTTGGCTTGTTTACGCTAGGCATAATATATATCAAAGTGCATAGTAGAAACTATGTATCTAAAAAAGCTAAAAACATCTTATAATTTAGAATAAAGGGAGTAGTAGATACTATGTTGATAACCTAGACTACATATGAGGTAAAATAATTTCAGTAACAATACAAGTGTCATATAACGATCATATTTAGTATGAATACATGTGACAACTCTATACCAGAAGATGGATATGGCTATAGGCCCCACCGCCTGAATATCATCACGTCGAAAAGAAGCGTCCATTTCTTGTTTACAAGCATGCAAATAATTTATCTTTGGTTAGACTTGAATTATTAGGAAAAAATATTAATATACAAGAATGTGTGAAAATAAGTTAATAGGATCTTGCAAACTACTCTCTTTATTTTAAATTATAAGTCGCTCTGTCTTTTTTTTAGGTTAGAGTTGAACGCACTTACGCGCACTGCGAGATTTCCGGCAGCAGGGTGGAGTACCACGCAAACATGAACCGTACAGGCGTACACATACAGTTGACGGCTTGACGCAAAGCTGAGACGACGGCTAAAACAAGCAAATCTTTGTAGCACAGGAGACTGGGAGGCAGGAGCACAGTTCGCAGTGGGCAAACCTACGGGATATGCTAGGTGGGTCATGGAGCTCTCACTTGGCACTGAAATAGCATGTGTTCCATAATAAATATTTGATACTTAGAATAATTTCAAGCTGATAACCTATAGCAGCCTGTTGTTCGCAGTAAATAACGATCGTGGATTATTTATCATGCTTGGTGGTTTGGTGTGAGAGAAATAGTATTCGACTGAAAATTTACGATCGTTTGATCGATCGTCGAATGATTGCTAGTGGTTTTGTCCATTGGCTCTTAACTAGGAGGAGGTTGGTTCGTGCTCTTTGATTTTGTTTTTCTATAAGTAGTGCACTAATTGTTATATTCTAATTAGTGTTTTATTTTACTGTTTTCTAGTCATGCATTGTAATATTGAGCTGTCGTACTTTAATTTTTATTCTTTTATTTTGTATATCTCCCTACAAAAGTACAAATCAACTGCCGTATTGCACTACGATGTGAAAGATTTGGGGGTAAACAACAATTCTGTCACCACTCGTGGAATTCTAGTTTTGTGTATTGAAAGATCTCGAGGAAGCAACAGTTGTGTAGGAAAGCAATAGTTGAGGATGGTAATAATCTTACAGTACAAGTCAGAATCATTGTAGAATCCTGTCAACTTCTCCATTTTCTTTCGTGACAGATAGCACAATTTACTGGTTTTTGTAGCTAGCTGTCTGCCCATTTTCTTTTGTGACAGACAGCACAATTTACTGGATTTCGTAGTTGGCTGTCTGCCCATTTGTAGAGTCACGGTTTGTTAAATGGAGAACTGTTTGTAAGGTAAGATAAGGGAATATTTTGCACAGATTTTGAGTCAGAAGTTGCACGGCAAAAAGAAATAAAAAAGCGATTTGTCAAATGGAGGGAAGATGAGGGAATATTTTGCACAGATTTTGAGTCAAAAGTTGCACGGCAAAAAGAAATAAAAAAACGATTTGTCAAATGGCTGTTTGTAAGATAAGATACCAGCGGCTCCTCAGACCGGATGGTCGGTACGTCCGGTTGGTACTCTCGCGTGCAGGGTTCGAACCCCCATGGGTGCGTTTCGTCTGCCGAAGTTAAAAAAAATCCCCTCGTCTGTCCCGAGTTTCCTCAAGCACAGGCAACGGATCGGCCCACTCACAAGGTAACGGGCCCCTGTGTAAGGGCGGGACACGATGTTCGGGGGTTTTCTCGGCCTGCATGAGAAGGTCTTCTTCCTTAAGCACAAAGTTGCGGGGGCTGTCTGCCCACCGTAGGCCGAGTTTTTTTTTTGTAAGATAAGATGTGGGTAGGAATATTTTGCACAGATTTTGATTCAAAAGAAATAAAAAGCGATTTGTCAAATGGAAAACTGTTTGTAAGATAAGATGTGGGTAGGAATATTTTGCACAGATTTTGATTCAGAAGCTGCACGGCAAAAGAAAAAGAAAAAAAGCCTCTTAGACAACCTATGGGCCACCCTAAGCCAAAGCTTCGCCAGGAACGATCCTCCACGTTCTGGCCCACAGGTCATTGCTCATCAATCAAGCTGAAGTGCTTGCCTCCTTATCAGTCAAGGATGCAGCAGTACAAGCCTGTAGAACAGATCCTGTTCAAATAAGGTCGTGCTCTGAGAGCCGTGGATTAGCGTTATAAGCTGGCTGATAGTTGTCTGTGATTCCGAGGTGGTATTTTGTTCGTTAAAGCGTTTTGTCTGGGTTCAGCTAATCAGCTAACAGAGGCACGGAGCTAATTAAGCTTAGCATTCGGTCTTGGGCCGCGGTCCACATGGATGTTCCAAGGCGCTGCCGGTCAGCTGCTGCAAGCCACGTCTGGTTAAGCATTTGCATAAATACTTTTAGCAATCATCCATATGGGGTGCTGCAAATTTGCCAACTTAAGCTATAGATTGTAAAGGTGCCCATGGTTGCAGTAGTGGCCAAATTATATAGTACACTTTCATTTCTAGGATAATTTTAAATAACTAATAATCAAAATAGTTCTAATAAAAGCAACCTCGCTCAGTATGGTTGTTTATTGTTTTTTTCTCTCATCCATTCAAGTACAAACAAGGAAATACTTCTGCACATCTCACTATCAGAAGATCAAACAAAGTAATATAACAATATGTGATTGCAATATAATGTTGCAGACAAGTAGTTGTCATAGGAAAAATGAGAGAAAGTTCTTTTACAGTCCTCAACTACGAAACCTTTAACTTTTCAGCTCTCAGCTATAAAATCGTTTACGTTCAATCTTAGCACCAATTTAGAGTGGTTTAATCCGGTGACACGATTCAAATTACAAAAAAGCTTCACTTCGGGAGCTCCCTTTACTCTGCAGTTGTTGATGCTGGGCTCGACCAGGATTGGTCCAGAGCACAAATACATTTTGAAAATAGATTAGAACCATTCAACTTTGGACAACGGATGTCACCCAATGTGAGTCAATCATCAGTATCCAGCACAGCAAAAAAGAACACAAGTAAAAGTCTGTGTACAAAGTTACTGCTTTAAGAAAGAATGCTTGTGCCTTTTGATAGCAGGGTATACATACAATACAGAATATTGTCAATCTCTCTTATATGTTTACATGATTTGCACATAACAAAATTGCCCGTAAGGTTTAAAATCCAAGTGCGGGAGAAAAAACTTAGGTATAACATTGAGGTGACACTACTATCAAAGGACTCTTGGCAAAATGGAGTCACGTAAAACAATGGCAACATTGCTATTACTGTAGCTGAACTGAGTCACTGAAGTGCAGATAGTAGGCTACTCCTAAAGCTCTCCATTCTAAAGAAACGGGTCTGAACAAATGAAGGGCAATGACGTAAGCTGTTCTAATATTTTACAAAGCAAAATTTTCCCTGCTGTCTGAGGGCCTTCAAAATAATAGTTGTGCCTTCAAAATAATATTTTACAAAGCAAGCCTGTTCGCTTGAACTTATCAGCCGGCTTATCAGCTAGAATCTACAGTATTTTTCTCTCACAACAAAACAGCTTCAGCCGGCTTTAATACTAGCCGAACAGGCCAGCGTATCTCCTCAGCTAGCCATTACCGTTAATTGATGGCTTCTTCCAGAACAGTCTTTTGCACATTAGAAATTTCAGAGGCAAACAAAATTATTTTGGCATCTGATATATACAGTTCCTGTATCTAACCAGGCAGTCAACTTTATGACATATGGTCTCATCGAACAGGTGGTGCTAAGCCATGTGTCTTCATCATGCAATGGTATTTCGGGGGTACTACTGCACCCACTTGCATGCAGAGCTCAATGACAGCAGGCGCATGGCCATAATAATCCCTCCCGCCGTCCACAAGGACCGGTGGGTCATGAGGCCGCCGATGCCACACAATCTTCTGAGGAACTAGGTCATCCACTCCGGCCTTGTTCCACTTGTGCATCCCTTTCCAGCCCTCAAACTTGAAAACTCCACACATTCTGGCCTTGTGCCCTGATTGCCCGATATGCACTTCTGAGCAATGCTTACAAACTTTGGATGGGTACACCAAGAGGAGTTTTGTGACACCTAATCTCAGGTATTCCCATGCATCCAGTGTTCTCTGACCGATATATCTGAGTTCATCTGGCAAGAACGGAGCAGATTGCTGATTGTTTGTTTTGTGTGTATTAGATATTTGTTCACTTTTGTATAGAATCTCTTCAGGTATGTCTGCACCTGCATGATGGCACAGCTCAAGTACAGCTGGGACGCGAGTGAAGTCGAACCGCTGGTCATGCTTTATCTCATCCTCAAACATGTTTTTCTGGTGGAAAGCCTGAACAGGGACAAGGATGTCATTCAAGTTGCCCGGTTGCCATTCATGTGGTCGGTCCTTGATCATACGCTTGAAACCATAGCATGTTTTCATCTGATGACCCGTGGCTCCAATGTGAGCTTCAGGACAAAACCTTCAGTCCAAATCAATACAGAAGGTGTTAAACAGACTGATAAAATGCAGAAATATTCAGGGCAAGAATCAACAAGCTGTAATCAGGCATAAATATCACAGAGAACAGTTAACTTGGCATTGCAAGAATTGGGTCGTATTGATAAAAACCTAAAATGGTGAAGAGACGCAAGAACAACACTAACCTATGCATTCATAGTATTCCTACTTCTCCATTTCTTCAATCCTTTTGATACTTGCCTAATTCAAGATGCTAAAGTTTTTTTACAAGCACTTCCAACAAATCATCAATAATAAAGTGTACTATATGTAAGACTGGGTTTATTATCGTTTTTCAGTTAAGACAAGAAAAGACTATTCTTTATTTTTTGAAACGATTTTTTTCAAAACGAATAAAATTTCTTTATTTTCCTTACTTGCATGACTGAACAGGAACAACCTTGAGCAGTCTGGAGACGCCCTCATTGACAATCTCCCTAGCCCTGACCACCTCCTCCGCGACCGGGATCATCCGCTTGATTGGGTATTCCTTTGACCGTTTCTTAATCCTCTTCAGAATCATTGGCCGCAGCTGCTTCCAATCCACCCTCGAGGTGGAGTAGTGCCTCTGGTTCAGAGCTGTGCCACACAGCTCCGAGCAGATGTAACTCCCGGCTCTTCGCCCCAGAGACGCCATTGTAGCACATATACAACAAGCCTACAAGTTCACGATCTGAATAAGCGACTAAAACAGCTTCCATTGCAGCACATATACAGCAAGCCTACAAGTTCATAATTTGAATAAGCGGGTAAAACAAACACCGAAGAGCATTGGCGTGAGATCAGGGGCGGATCCAGTAAAGGGGCATGGGTGTACACATGTACGGCTTGTCAAATAGCTAAGTAGGTTAGGGTTTCGGTGCTCAGCTTCACACAGCATGAAGGGAAGAAAAGGGGTGGGAGTACCTGGTGGGTGCTCGTCGCCGGCGAAGAGACCAAGGAAAGCCTCAGCACCTGGCTTAGGGCGGCGGCGGCCCACCAGTCGTCGGAGAGCGAGACGGTGGCGAGAGAGACAGACACAGAACGCACGCGGAGGAATGCAGCGGAAGGGGTTGTTGGGCGGCGGAACGAGATGCAGCCCGGCCGGCCCAGTCGGGGTTGTTGGGCGCAGCGAGAGGGCACCCGCACGTCGCCAAGGGCAGGTCGCTCTCCACCTCCGACCAGACGCCAATGTTAGATTGATCTCCTGACCAATAAGCCCAACGGCCTATTGGATCTTGGTCTCGCGCCCTGATCGGGGGCGCCCAACCCTACATGGTTGGTGGGCCCCCGTCGCACTGCGCTATATAAAGAGGTGGGGGCCGGCGGCTCAAGGGACGAGGTTCACCGTGAGCCGCAAACCCACCGACAAAACCCTAGACCGATCTCGAGAGGGCGCGCAGCCAGCGACGGGAAGCTCCACTGATCCTCGCCGTCGCCACTGCCACGCCCGACCGCACTGCATCGACGTCCGTGCAACCTCTACTCCACCCGTCGCTGCCCGTGTGCTGCCTCCATCACCGAACCCGCGATGGCTGGCACAACCGCGACATCATCTGGAGGCTCAGGTTCGACACCTCCTCCTTCCTCTAGATAGCTTTCTAGGTCTACATCGTTGCTGTAGTCTACCGCTCTTGATGTCTACCCTCTAGACCGACTGCTAGATGATCCACAGTTTATAACAGCCAAGGCTCAGTTATTGGGTTGGGCTTCGATGAAACGAAACGGTCGGTACGTCTCGACCACGAAGCACGAGCCCACGAAATGCACGGGCTGCAGGATTCTCAAAACGCAGGGGCCAGCTCGCTTCACCTTCACGGCTCCACCCCTCTCGGCGGCGGCCGGGATCGCGCCGCAGTAGCCCCGACGGCGCTACGGACCGAAGTGCAGTTCGGCCCGCGTTTCTCTGGTTCAGTGGTTAGCCTCCGCGCCGCAAGTTCCTAGAGATGGCGGCGAAGTCTGGATACACACGCCCGCTCCCTCTCGCCGGGGACACCGCTCCTCCGCCTCCCAGCGCCGTCCTCTATGTGGCCAACTGCGGGCCCGCGGTGGGAGTAACCGACGCCGACGTCCGCTCGGTGTTCGGCGCCTTCGGGGAGGTCGCAGGGGTCCAGGCCGCCGACGACAGCGGCGCCCGAATCATCGTCCGGTTCCACGAGCCCGCCGCCGCGGAGGCCGCCATGGCCGCGCTCCACGGGCGCCCCTGCGACCTCCTTGCGGGTCGCGTGCTGCACATTCGGTATTCGGTGCCCGTGAAGCCAAAGGCTCGCCCTGGGGGCTCTGTACCGGTGGCTCTCGTGGCATCGGAGCTCGGAATCCCCGGGATTTACATGGTTCAGGAGTTCTTGACTGCCGCTGAGGAACAGGTTAGCCAATTGTGAGTCATCTCCGTTTGTTCTCCAAGTTTGAGGGTTCGGATAAACGCTATTACTATTCGCCTATTTTGAAACATGACATTACAATTCTTCGTTTCCCACAAAAATACCACTGAATACATATGGACACAGCTGGGACCCAGCTGCAGGCGTATACGAAGACTATACTTCATCTCCCTATCACTGACACGCGGGCCCCATATGTCATCTTCTTCTTCCTCTCCTCTCTCTCTCCATCCCGACGCGTGCCACGGGCGCTGCGCTGCCGCCGGCCAGCGGCAAGCGGGCTTTGCGGTCGAGCCGACGAGCATTGTCGTGACCCAGCGCCATGCAAGCGAAAGCAGCCGGCGACGGGGCGCCACAGCCGAAAGCAGCAGGGCGTGGCGGTCACGAGCTCATCGCCGGGCGGCGGCCGAGGGGCGCTGCCAGCGCGGAGCTCGCGGCTTTGACCGACGTCTTGCTGCTCACCCGCTGCGTCGTGCTGCTGCTGCTCGGCGTCGATTGGAGCACTCGTCGTCGCAGCCGCCGCCGCCCGAAACCGTCTCGCCACTTGCTCGCCGACGAAAGCACATCTTCTTTCTCGGCTGACCCTCGCCCATTTCATGGCCAAGCATCGCCTGCGCTGCCCGTGCTCACCGGTCGCCGCGCGGCGGCTTCGCGCTTGTCTTTGGTGTGTCTTTGGCCGGATCTGGGCAGCCAGAGCTCGGGCACCTCGCGGGCCCAGGAGGGGGGCCGTCATCCATCACCGTCCAGCGCACCGACGAAGACGACCGGTGAAGCAGAGGAGGCTGGGGTCCATGGCGTTGTGCACGCGTCCGCGCTCATGCCGGTGATGGCAGAGGGGCCTGGGGCTCTACGTGGCCGCCCAACTGCTCGGCTCCGCGCTCATCTTCCTCACCGGCGCCAGCGGCGTGCCCGTGCCCGTGCACGCGCTGGGCCCAGCGTCGGCACGCTCCGGGGGCTGCTCATGGAGGCCGTGCTCACCTTCTCGCGGCCATGGCGGGCGGAGCTCCCGCACGGCCACGGCGGGGCAGAGCTCCAGGCGCACGCGTTCGCCGTCGCCATGGCCGTCCGGGGGCGAGGCTGACCACCATCTGCGCGAGGCCGAGCTCCTTGGCGGCGTCTCTGTTGCTGCTCGGCGTGCTGCTGCCGGCGTGCTGCTGCTGCTGCTCGCGGGCTGCCGGCGTGCTGCTGCTGCTGCTCGCCGTGGCCGTGGCCGCGTCAGGATGGAAAGAGAGGAGGAAGAAGAAGATGACACGTGGGGCCCGCTTGTCAGTGATAGGGTGATAAAGTATACGTCTTCGTATACGCCTGCAGCTGGGCCTAGGTTTTGTCCATACGTATTCAGTGGCATTTTTGTGGAAAACGAAGAATTGTAATGGCATGCTTCGAAATAGGCGAATAGTAATGGTGTTTCTCCAAACATCGAAAATTATAATGGCATGGATCAAATAAACCCTTGCTAAATAGCCCTGCTTCCCTGTGCTGAGTGGTACTATGTCTTTTGCTTCCTTTTCAGGAGTTGCTTTCAGCTGTGGATAGCAAGACGTGGAAAAGACTGGCGAAGAGACGAGTTCAGCATTATGGTTATGAGTTTCTGTACGAAGTAAGTTTGATCTTGTAAGTATCTCAGGATGATGCAATGTTCCAGTATCTTGGGTTGTCCTTACATCAATAAATGGGACTACTGCCTGATGTTTTTATTTCATTAAGAGAGCATGGCCTTTCTTCATTTGTGCTGCCAAGAAACAAAAAGGGTTATACTCAAAAGTGAGAGATGCATTGGCTTCATTTTGTGACCCTTCATACTGTCTGTCCCATTTTCACCAGTCTTGAACCTAATCAAGTCCTGAAGTATCACCGTGTGATAAAATGCAGTTTGATTTCACTTTTCTGCTGCACATAGACAGTAAAGGTTTCTGGGCCTGTTCGTTGGTTGGTTTCTGGGCTGATTTGGACTAGCTGGTGCTGGTTTGTTGTGAGAGGAAAACACTGTTGGCTAGCTGATTTGGGCTGGCTGAAACCAACAAGCGAACAGGCTGAGACGTAGCATGAACAAACTTAAAGCTTGTCATTTCTACTGCACAATTTCCTTTAATCGTCATATCTTTAGCTTGAGACTACCTTAGCTTTATGTTGAAAAAGATTCTTTGCTATCCACAGACAAGGAATGTTGATTCAAAGCAGTTCTTGGGTGAATTGCCTACGTTTGTTTCAACCGTCCTTGAGAAGATTGCTTCTTTTCCCGGTGTGAAGGACTGTACCACCAGATTAGTTGATCAATTGACAGTAAGTTCTCTATTGACAAGGAATGTTGTTTCAAAGCAGTTCTCTATTGTTTCCTTTGCTGAAGGTGATACCTATAATTCTTATCTTTCCTTGGTCCATTATGCAATCTAGATTTGAGCCCTTAGCAGTGATAACAACATTAGCTTTTGAAATAAAGAACAATGCATTAAATTGTTCATGTGTTTTACAGGTAAATGAATATCCTTGTGGTGTAGGTTTGTCTCCACATATAGACACACACTCAGCATTTGAGGAAATGATTTTTAGCCTTTCTTTGGCTGGACCTTGCATCATGGAGTTCAGGAAATATACTAGAGGCAGTTGGCGTGCTCCAAGTGTGGTCAATGGAGTTGATGAAGATAGCAGTCAAGAGCCAGAATGCATAAGGAAGGCCATTTTCCTACCTCCTCGGTCAATGTTATTGATGTCAGGAGAAGGTCGTTATGCCTGGCATCACTATATACCACATCATAAAGTATGTATTCTTCAGCTCTATGCATTGCTTCGCTTCGTTCTATATTATTCACAATGCATAAATTCAACCTGTAAATAACATGCTAATGTTTGTGCCCTGTTTTATTTTAGATCGATGCCGTGGGTGGTCAAGTCATCAAAAGGAATTCAAGGCGGGTTTCTTTCACTTTCCGAAAGGTCAGTTTTATTTTATTCGTTTCATGGTGCGCTGGATTGAATCTATTGTTCTAGCTGAACAGTTCACCAATAGTCTGCATCCTTTCCATTTTTTCCATTGTTAGTTTTGGTTTGCCGCTAGTCTTATAGCTTTACTCGTAAGAGCCACAATACTCCTTGTGTTTTACTTATTTGACATTTCCTTCATTTTGGCCATTAACTACAGGTGAGGATGGGTCCTTGTGACTGCGAATACAAGCAATTTTGTGATTCTCATAGCAAGAGATGTTAAGCTGGAAAGGCTAACATGTTCAAAACTACTTGCTGCTACAACCATTGGCAAGTCTCATAAGAAACTGTCAGTATTTTGTCTCACACAATCAAAATGGTCAGGAGCTCACCGACCAAACTCATATCAAGCAACAGATGTGTGTGCAAATGAATAGATAGAGAATTGTAGGAAATTGTCAGCTGTAACTTTTGAACTTTGTATCCGTCTCATTTCAAGATTGAATTGCTTGAATGAGCCTGTAGTTTGTCATTGTTTTTCCTGATATCTCAAAACAACAAAGTTTAAATTGTATCCATATGATGAAAAAATGACACCATTGTTTTTTGCTACTGTTGAACTTTGTGGAATTGGCCTTCATACATACCAGGACACTTTTCTAGATAACCTGGTTTCATCATTTGGTTACTCAGTTTAATGACCTCAAGAATTTATTGGCCTTGAGCTTCACAAGAAAAATGCCTCCTTCAGGTTTCATAGATGCATGAAAGGAGAAAACGTCGAGCACAAAGCAGAGAGAGAGAGAGAGAGAGAGAGTAACTTGATGATTTTCATCTTCATTTGAGTAATTACATGAATGCTTTCTGTGCCCATCTTCAGATATGAACAAATTGCTGTACACTTCACCAATCACCATGCATGTCATGTGTCTTGGACTGCGACTAAAACTGTAGGATGCTACATTTACCGAGCAACAATGCCTTTGCTGGTCATGACATGAGTATTTGAGTATTCTGTAAACACTCACTGGCCACTGTTCTTTGCTGGTCATGACATGAGTATTGAGTATCTTGTAAACACTCACTGGCCACTGTTCACCGCGGCTTGCAACACGCCACATTCAACTAATCCATATCCTTCCTGCATGACTGCATCTAGGTCCAGGACATCATGGTCTCAACCTGCAGGGCTATTTCACCATTCACAAGTAGTGCGGCAGTTCAGTTTGTGGGTTTATTATATATGTAAATGTTCCTAAGTACCCCAATTTTGTCAAAGTGTTAATGCTGCAATTAACCAAAAAGCTAATCTGTCATAGCCTGAGCTGATCAGGTCACAGAACATGACCAAACACCAGATCAGCAAGCTTTCCACTGCTGCAGTACTGATACATGTCAGATGATTTCATCTCTACTGTAATCAACCCCATGCAGCAACGAGTATTCATGGCCATTTTAGGGGGAGCTTTGTAATGCTGCATCCTGGACTTTAATCCAACTAGAACCTGCCATCTTCCGCAACCCTCTCAACCTCATCTCCTTCCTCAAGCTATCAGCACTACTCCAGTTGCCCTCAGCAGCAAAAATATGTGACAACAAAACGTTGTAACCAGCATGGCCATACTTCTTCTCAAAGCAAAGCAATCTCTCTGTCACCAAATTCACCAATTCCTGCTTGTCCTGTGCTTTGCAGGACACGAGCAGTGATCCCCAGATAGAAATGAAGTTACCCTCCTCCCCCAGCTCCTGCACAAATTCATAAGCTTCCTCCACTCTGCCGGCTTTAGCTAACATGTCCACAATGCAGCAACGGTGCTGAGGAGTTACTGCAACCCCAAAAGTTTCCATTGACCTGTACAGAGCAAGCCCTTCATCAACCAGCCCAGAGTAATTACATGCTGAAATTGCTGCCAAGAAGGTCACACCATCAGGTTTTAGCCCCTTCTCTTGCATTGAGTAGAAAAGGGACAATGCTCTTTCGCCAAAACCATGCTGACCAAGACCAGAAATCATTGTTGTATAGGAGACAGTGCTCTTTTCAGTAATAACAGCAAAGACATGTTCTGCAGTAGAAATCTAGCCACACTTGGAGTACATGTCAACAAGAGCTGTACCTCTGAAGACATTGGTGTCCAAACAACGGCGCAAAGCAAAACAATGGATCTGCTTCCCTGCACATAAACCTCCTCCTAGAGGATCACATGCAGGGAGCACCGAGGCAAGTGTCACTGAAGTAGGTTCAAGACTTGCCTCAAGCATTGCCCGGAATGCCAAGATTGCTTTTTCAGGCTGCCCACTCTGTGTGTACCCTGCTATCATGGCATTCCAGGTGACTTCATCTCTTTGACATTACCATAGTCGTCAAATACTCTCTGAGCTATTTCTATGCGACCGGACTTGGCATACATGTCAATCAGATAGCTCTCCAAGCCCTCATCCTCAATGCCATGCCTTACGAGATAACCGTGGGCTTGTTTACCAATCTGAAGGTCTCCTGTATTGGACGCAGCAGAGAACTGCAGTCAGTGTCACTGAATCAGCTGCAAACCCTGATTTTTGCATCTGATAAACGAGCAACAGGCCTTCCAAATCAAAATCGTTCTGCACAAAAGCAGTGACCATGGTGTTCCAAGAAACAATGTCCTTCTCTGGTAAGCGGTCAAAGAGCTCAAAGGCAGTTTGGACATTGCCACATCTCGAGTACGTTACAACAAGTGCATTACCAAGTATCACTGGCAAAGTGGCGTGGATTCCTTTGATCAAGTAGCCATGCAGCTGCTGACCCAACCTGCCATCCTGGGACTGTGATGCAGCCGTAAGTGCTGACAGGAAGGTCACGACATCCATTGGAACCTCTTTAGACCCCATTAACCGGATAACGAGATCCATAGCTTCAGCAAATTTCCCATTCTGCACATACCCAGTGATCATCGTGTTCCAAACCTCGGTGTTCTTCTTGGCAGTGTACTCAAACACCCTCCAAGCTGACTGCACGTCCCCGAGTTCAGAGAACATCCCGATGGCCGAGCTGACAACAAAGAGATCATTGACATATTCCATCCCATGCTTCACAAGGAGGCCGTAGAGCACCAAGGACCAGCTGGGATCTTCCTTGGCCGCCGCGGGGAAGACATTGACGAAGCTGACTGGCGTGGACTTGATGCCATCCTCCAGCATACGCGCGAACAGCTCCAGAGCTTCCTGGGGACGTCCGGTCTTGACGTACCAACCGAACAGTGTGTTCCAGGAAACCGCGTTCCGCTTGGGCATCGCGTCGAACAGCCTGCGGACGACGTCGACGCCGCCGCCGCCTCGGTACCGCACGCAGGAGGCGTAGAGGTTGAGGAGCGAGTTGCGGAGCACCGCGGTGTCGGCCAGCCAGCGCGCGCGCGCGCGGAGGAGGTGCGCGTGGACGGATTTCCCGAGGCGGAGGCGGCGGGTGCGGGCACAGGCGGTGAGCGCGCAGGAGTAGGTGTAGTGGTCGGAGCGTGGCGCGGGGCGCGCGGCGTGGTTGAGGAGCGCGTAGAGCCGCAGCGCGTGTTCCGGGAGGGCGCGGGCCACGTAGGCGATGAGGAGCGTGTTGTAGAGCAGCGGCGGCGGCGGGCGCGGGAGCGCGTCGAGGAGCAGCCGCCGCGCGCGTCCAGGCGGCCCTGTTTGCACAGCCGCCTCACCTGCGACGACGTCGGGTGGCGCTGCGCCTTCACCCCGCCCCGCCGCCGCCGCTGGTGCTGGTAGCGGAGGCATTAGTAGGAGACGGAGGGAGCGAGAGGCGCAGCGGGGAGCAGGAGACATCAGACGGTGGCGCTGGCGCGTTGCGGTGACTCCTCTGTCCTCTCCCTCTCGCAGTGGCATGGCAGCTTGGTGCTTCCGCATATCGCCTCATCGCTTCGTGCCGGGCCCGGGCTGTCAGTCACTGACGAATAGGAGAGGACCTGGATTGCAAGTCATTTCCGTTTTCTTTTCTTTTTGAGCTGGGGAGTGGGGACATTTCGAAATGTTCGACTGCGGAACGGATTAGCTGGTGCTCCGATTGAGTGGCTGGTGCTCCGATTCAGCTATATAATAATATAATAATATAGGTCCGGTTTGGTATAGTTTATCTAAAAAGCGTTTTTCAGATAAGCTGCACAAATAGAGAAAAAACGACGATCAAAATAAGCTGGTCTGATACAGCTTCTGCTTTTTAGTATGAATAGGAGCTGTGGGAATAAACGTGGCCAGAAAAAGCTGCTGAAAAGCGTGGCGTTTGGCTGTTGATTTCAGCTTATTTTGGCCATAAGCAGCTTATAAGCTGTACCAAACAGGCCCGTATGCATTTGTTTATATATTATTCTCTTTGGGTAGGTAGGGATAAAAACGGACGAAAACGGAAGAAAAAATCCCTCCCATTTCCATTTTCACATTTTCTAGCAAAAACGGCATCGGGTTTGGAAAAAACGGAATCAGGATATGCGGACATACGGAAACAAAATATGGACGGAGGGCCGAAAAATTAAATTAGGTTCACATGATCTAATATGATCATGCATGTGTAAAGTCACACAATACTGAACATATATGAAGATTGATATAGTATTCACTTTCATGCCACGTGTAACATACATATTTGGTGATTAGATGTGTATTAACATAAATATGAAAACGTGATACCGTAAATACGAAAACAAACGGGACAAAAGTATAAAATGGGACGGGACGAGATTTTTGCCTGTTCATTTTCATCATTAGTCGTAGGGTCATAGGGACACAATATATAAGGCAAGGAGAAGAAGGAGAAGAAAAGTCCTTAGGTGCAGAACGCAGAGGGAGCAATTGAACATGTCAAAGAGGTCCCGTAGAGAGCCACATGGAGACGAACGTGAGAGCCTAGGGGAGAACACGGTGAGAGGCCATTGTCGTGTCATTGCTCTAGCCACTTGACTGAATTTGGCATGTTGAGGTGGCGGTGACAACAGGCTCAAGCAGCTAAACATCTCTACCTCATGTTGGACGACTAGTAGAGAGGGTACAAGCGTCACACAGACAGAGTGGCGCGACGAGGCGACTTTTACTCCAACAACACCGAATATTTGAGTGCCGCAAGCGAGGCCTTGTTTGTTTTGTCCCGAAACCAAATGGGTTGGAGGGATTGAGACGAATTTAATCCCCTATAAGTCACACTACTACAACAATTTTAACCGAGAGGCGGGCAAAGCAGTTATTAACCGGAGGCGGGGCATCACAACCGCCTCGGTCAAAAGATCACGATAAATCAATGTTTTCTCGAGGCGGTTCAATGCCCACCTCGTTAATCGAATAAATAACAAAAAAAAAAGAAAAAAAGCCCACACCAAAAACAGGCTGGGCCTAGATCTACATCACTAGACCGCCTTTGTCATTGCCGAGGTTCCTCGATCCGCCACCGAGGGAGCTCAATCCGGCCACCACGGGCACAAATCCGGCCACCACGGCAGCTGGAAGGAGATGGGGGAGGAGGGCACTCCGCCGCAGGTGGATGAGCTCAGGGGAGGAGCACGCCACCGCTGAGGAAGGAGCCAACGCCATGAAAGATCGGCCAAAGCCCGCACCCATGTCGCTGTGCCCCGCCGCCTCGCGGCCACGCCCGCCAGCCATGAGAGTTGCCACGAGGAGTTCCTCTAGATCCCCTATTGGTGAGGGAGAGGGAGGCACGGGAGAGTGGGGGAGAGGAGAGGGGAGGGGGCACTCGGGTGCGGAGAGGGAGGCACGGGGGAGTGGGTGAAGGGAGAGAGGAGGGGGCGCTCGGCTGTTGAGTGAGGGAGGTGAGTGAACCCTAACTCCCCTGCTCCTGTATATATAAACCCGATAGTTGATTGGATATGGGCTTTTTGCTGGGCCTTGAGAATATTAACCGAGGTGGGCCTTATAAGAGGTCTACCTCTGAAAATAGAGGTATTTTTGGAGGCAGGCCTCTTATAAAGCCCACCTCGGTTAACAGATTTTAGGAACCGCCTCGGTAAATTGATTTTATAAGGTGGTTGACTGTAACAGCCTCGGTTAATAAAAATGACTACGTCGGTTAATCCTAGGCACAACCAAGGCAGTTTAAAAGCACGCTCGCCTCCGAGGCCATTTTCCAAATGGCTCGCATAAGTTATTCTATAGCAGTGTCATAATCCCCATCAACCCTCTTCAACCCTCTTTGTTTGGAAAAGAAACAGCCTGATTAAGAGGGAGACGTGTGTGAACGTAAGCCCCCTATTTTTTCCCCTATTTCCCATATGCTTCAAAGTGGGGATAGGATTTAATAGCAATTCATGAATGATTATGGGTGTAACACCCTAGGTGTTTGGCTTCCACTAAGTGCATTTCATTTCATAAACATATGCATCATCTATGTCATCATCGCCATTGTTACTGAAACATGCATGTGCAACAATTTCAACTGTGTATGTTTCATGCTTGATTGTTGTGAATAGTAATGGTGTAATTTGTGAATGCAACATGAAATTCTTATACCATGAAACATGGCAACATGGTAGTAATGTGATAAGTGTAGGATAACAACAAGGTCATGCAACATGCGAAACATTGTATTGAAACATATGTACGAATTGCTTGTTTTTATTTTCTGTATCACATGTGATCAGTAGAAGTGGTATAACAACTTTGTAAAATGGGTGATCATGGTCTAATACACCTTAACTATACTTAGTTTACTTGTTGGAACATTGTTCATGTAGACCAAAATGACCAAAATGCCCTCAAGTGCAAGTTTGACTTGAATTGACCCTTGGAGTCTCACTGTTTGACTGTTTAAAAAGTGTAACTTAGAGTCTATGCATGCTTGAGCAACCTAAAGCAAAGTTGTAGTGAGTTTATTAAGGAACAAAAGTTGTTTTATGGTCAACTCATGAAAAGGTCTAGAACATGGTCAAACATGGCCCACAAGTCAGAAATACATGCTGTTTTCAACACTTAGAAAAATATCCTAAGTCATGGTGCATTTCAGTTAGATCAGGCCAACTTGGGCTTCATATAACTTCTGATCCAGATCCAATGAGTTGTTGATTTCTAAATCAAAGATGTAGTCCTACCATACATCTACATTTTTCATGTACACCATTTTTGCAAAGGGGCATTGGATTAGCCGTAATAAGGTGTTGAAGTCGCGCTGTCAGGCTCGGAATGGAACACTGAATTGACGCTACAGTGATCAAATTTTAGATTTCGGCCGACGCGTGGGGGACACTCGTCGCCGGGCTTCTTGTCATTGGCCACGCCACGCGCGTCGCCTCCTGGCGTCCTGACGACGCGCTTGAAGCTCACCAGCGCTTTGTCCGACGCACTCACCGTCCCATTTCACATTTTCTCGCCCTCCACCGCACGCCGCGTCGAGAGCTAAGCCGCCCGCCATTGCCGACCGAGCATCGCAGCCGCCGTGCGCGCACGCCACCGCGAAAACGCGTTGCCTCGTCCGCCTGTAGCCTCTCCGTGACCTCCTCCACCTCTCAGCCGGGTCAATCGAGCCTCGGTAAGGGCGTATTCGCCGTTCTTCCCCACCGTAGCCATGGCGGAAGTTCACCGGAGTTGGCGCTCCACGCGGCCAGTTGTCCTCGCGCCCTTTCCACCCCTCCTCTGGCTCGCGCTAGGTCCTAGGAACACCGCTGAAGCTCGTAGTGTCAACCATTAGGGCAAAGCAGACCAGTAGCCTCGCCGGAGCCGGGCGCGTCTGCATGCGCCGTCTTGCCGCCGCGTTTCGTCGCCACCCCTCTAGCCGCTGCAATCATTGCAATAGATGAGTCCTCTAGATGCGCATGTGTGTGGGGAACACGACGGTGCCGTCGAGTTCATGGGAAAAAGCCACCGGCGGCGAATCTAAGCCACCGGCCGCCTCCTCCCCCTCTTTCGACGACGAAGGGCCCGCCCGTCCCGATCTCTCGACGCTGAGGCGCGGAGTCCAGCTCGGGCAGCGCCGTCGTCTTGGGCCACGATTGATGCGCTCATGGGCCGCCACATTCGTAATGGTGGCCCAACTGTGTAATGAGTTGTTTTCTCTCGATTTGTTTTGTTTATTTTATTTTCATAGATTTATGTACATCTTGAAAAATATGTAGCTCCTAGTATATAGATCCAAATGCTATGGTTCTAATTTTGTTGAGTTCCTAGTATTGTCTAGTATTTAACAAAAATAGTATATGAGCACATGTTTTAGAAAAATTGGATGAATTAAATAGGAGTTTGAATTGTGTTTTTAGAAGCATGCAAACTTGTTAGAATTTTATCTTGAGTTTCTGTGGTCCAAAAATTATAAAATTTTGTGGGTCCTCTATTTTGGTTTAGTAGAGTCTCTAGTTAAAATTTCAGAGCTAGTGCATGTGTAGTTTTTAAGTTATAAAATTTCTTTTTATTAATGGGTGGATCTTGTGTGAATTTTCATAATTTTTCTATAGATCCAGTAAAGGTAAAATTTGGTGAGTACTATTCTTATGCTAGAATGATGCTAGGAAAAATGTGAAATCTGTTGCTTGACACTTTTCATTAGGATTTCTTAATTATGCCATTTTAAGCCAGTATGCCTTATCATTTTTGTGTAGACTGTTATACTTACTCAAAGGCTTTGAAATTTTTATGGTAATCTATGTGAAGCATGAGATAGCTACTGTAATTTTTGTAGATTTTTCTGAACAGTTTTACTATATATTGCTTTAATCACCTAATTAACTAGATAAATTAGAAAAGGGTATTAAATAATTTATTTAGAAGTTGACACTATACTTTCTGATGTTTATTAGGTATTCAAAACAAGTTGGTAAACTTGGTTTGATCAAAGTATGCTTTTGCACAATCCTTAAATAATTAAGTTAGTAACCCCGTCATTCTGGACAGATTCTAGGTTTGCTGGAAATAGATTT